ACCTGTGTCTACCTCCCCAGTGCTGGAAACACATGCCACGATCCCTAGGTTTTTAGGTGGGTTCCGGGATGTGAATGCATGTTGTGAGGCAGGCACTATATGGGATCATGCAGCTCCAGGTGTTCTAGTTCTCACTGTGTGAAATGAAGAATTGCATAAGATACAGGTTTGTACAATTACAGTTGAATACACAAAATATTCATCATCCCCCAGGTATTCAAAAAGCGTGTGTCTTCTCAGCAACATTGCCCCTCCCCCCCCATCTCCGAGATTATGTTATGTCCTGTGCCAGTCTGTCTGTATGTTGACCTTTGGGTCAAGGACACACTAATACATGATCACTCTGTGCTCAATACATTACCAGGTGCCGTTTACTATCTTAAAATGTTACCCAGAGCCTGCAAGAAAGACCCTCATTTCAGTGCTGTTGGAACTCTTGGGCATGTGGCTCGTTGAGGATGGCAACACCAGATCAAACATATTCCACCATGCCTCAGGATCACCTGAGAGGACGAAGGGGTCACCTACTTGGAAGAGCTACCTTGTTCAGGCATCTGGAAGATGTCTTCATGGGCTCCCACTGGGAAAGGAAGACAAGTGCCAAGATTCGGTGCACCCGAACCAGAGAGAATCCTTGTCTTGTACAGAGCCGTCCAAGGGGCGAAGAAACGTGTGTTCTTGGAGGTGTCCTGGCAGTAACGAAAATGGCCACTGGGTGGCGATGTTTCAGAGGGAATCCCCGCTCTAGAAGGGAAGTCGCCTCTACACAACCATCTCCACTCACGAGTCAAGGATATTAACGGAGTGTACACTCGCAGCTTCTTAGCTTTTTCACTGTTGCCCAGTTTGGGAAATCCTCTCCGTTGGTAAATGTGATGTCAACCCTGACAACCGTGGAAACACACTTTTGGGTGGGAGCACACCTCTAGCTGTGTCTATGAAGGTTAAATTGAGGTGGGAAGACCCAACCTGAACGGGAGTGGTATTATCCCTGGGCTGGGGTCCTGCACTGAATGAAAAGAAGAAGGTCAGCTGAGCACTGATATTCATCTCTCTGCCTCCTGACTGTAGATGCCATGCGACCAGCTGCCTCATATTGGGAGCTGTGAACCCCCGGATCCTGAATTTCTTGTAAACAACTTGTTTTCCTCTGCTCTGAGACAGCCTGCAGCTGCTCTGTGCACGAGACCCTCGGGAGTTCCTGATGGCAAGGGAGTGATTTCTGGTGGGTTTGGCTGGGGCATGGCTAGCAGTTAAGGATCCCTATATAAGCTGTCCCACAATAAAAGGGGCATTCCTGTTTCAAGGATTACCCGTGTCTCTGTCTGTGAGTCTTTGTGTGTTTCAATTCCAGTCCCTTGCCCGGTTCATGAACTGTATGGCCTCACATAGAGCGCAGACAGGCGTGATGCGCTACAGCCTCAAGCTCCATGCTGCACGCCACGCCATGGTGGACTACACTCTCAGACTTTATGCCCAAATAATTTTTTCCTTCATTCAATTGTTTCTTATCAGTTATTTTGCCGAACAATATAAAAAGCGGCTAATACAGTAAGCTGTCATCTGTAGAAAGTATCTTCTAAAAGACTTCTCCAACCGCCGAAGGCCACAACACGCTGACCCAGGGACGTCATCAACAAGAATGACTTGATGTAACTGTCCTTTCTCCTCGGGAATCTGGACAAGAGTCTGCCAGATACAGGATACTACTAACCTCTCAAGGGAGGCCTTAGGGACAGTTCTAGTTCAAAACGTCGTCGACAAACTAGAAGACACAATGTCACAGCTGAGACTAGAAGTCGTTGCTGAGAGGCTGAGTGCTTCGCAGATCGGCCAAGACCCTAAAGTTCCCAACCGAAGGAATTCCGGGATCAGAATGGCCTGAGGTAGGTGTTCGTCTGGAAACCGCAATTGCACCAGTTGCTGGGTTGGCTAAAGGCCTTCCTTTCTACCCCCCCCCCCCCCATTAGGGTTAGGCGGTATGTGAACCGCAAAGGAAAGAATACCAGTGCCACCAAGGTTCCCAGCCAACAAGCAGAGCTTGTCCTTGACCTCGGGAATCACATTCTAGTGGAAGAAGCAGGAAAGCATTTGCGAGAATACACAAACACGAATGGATCTGGGTGGAGTGTGAGCAGCTGTCACGGGAAGGGTGACAAGGGAAGAGCCAGGTGACAAATTGATTAGGAAAACAGAGGGTTGAGAAAAAGCTGGTCAGGGTGTCCCTGCTGCTGTGGAAAGTGTTGAGAGGAGGCGAGGGCCAGCCTGGAACAGTGAGCCAAGAGGCTTCTCTTCACGACTGGACACCAGTGTCTGGCGTGGTGCAGGGACCAGGTCCTTCACTTTTCAAAACAGCCCCCAACCCCGATTTTACTGAGTAGGAAACAGAGTCCAGAGCAAAAGGCATCTTGCCTAAAATCTCAGATAATAGGTGGTGGGCCATCGCACAGTGCCCTTTCCATCTTAGGATGGGGAGTACCTACACTTGCGGTTTTCCTGTGTTTCACAGAGGCAGCTTCCCCCGCAACCGTGTTGGCTGCCTGTAGAACTGTCTGGTCTCAGACGATCGAGGCTTTGTCGGGAGAACCACATAAGCATATTTGGTCCAGCCCCAATCCAGAAATGATAATGCCAAGGTCCCCAGGAAAGAGCCAAAGCAAGTCCTATATGCCCACATGGGAAACTGTTTATTTATTTTTTAAATATTTATTTATTTATTATGTATACAATATTCTTTCTGCGTGTATGCCTGAAGGCCAGAAGAGGGCACCAGACCCCATTACAGATGGTTGTGAGCCACCATGTGGTTGCTGGGAATTGAACTCAGGATCTTTGGAAGAGCAGGCAATGCTCTTAACTGCTGAGCTATCTGTCCAGCCCCGGGAAACTGTTTAATCTACTGGTTGGTAGCAGAAGCTTCCTGTTCCTGTGAGAGGTTCTCAGTCCACTAGATGACTGCACAATCAGCCCCAGGATGGAATGGGGTCTGTGGAAGGAGAGATGAAACGTTGTTAGGGTCAGTCAACAATCCCACAGCCTCACCACCCTAAACTTCCTGGCCTGGAGTCCGCGGTAGCTCTCTACAGCAGCTGTCTGTGAGGCTGGTCAGTGGAGATAACTTCTCCCCACACCACACTGGTCTCTCGGATAGGCTCTGTTGACTCCCCACATGGTCCCACCGCGCAGTGTAGCTCACACGTTCCTGCTTCCTAGCCTGCCTCCCTTGGGTCTTGAAGTAGCCTGTGTCCTACCTCATCTTCCTTTTATAGCTACACTGGCCCTAGGGAAACTCTCCTGAGGTGCATCTGAGCCAGAAGCTGGTTTCTCTGACTCCCTGCCTAAGGCCCCATGCATCTTTTTACAGCCCTTGCTTCCTGGTTCAGTCCTGAGCAAATCCTGCCTCCCTCTCTACCCATATTGCTAGGCTCTTCCCATCAGCCCTGCTCTTCTGCGCACCCTTTGCTCGAGAACCAATTCTAGGATAAGTCTGTATTTAGCAGGGTACCGTGTTCTACAACACCTTTCTCCTTTTGTTCTCTTTCTATTTAATCTGCAATTCCATATCCTTTCTGAGGCCCTGTCTAGGTTCCAGGAGAGGGACACTGTTATTTGGTATCTGGAGAGAAGGAGTGGAGGGAATGGAAGTTGTCCAGCCAAGATGACCTCATCCTTAGCAACCGTGGGCCCTGGAATGGGTTTTAACTATGAGCATCTGAACCTAAAGTGAGATCTCTTCTTTCCTCAATGTCCCCAACATCTGCCCCTTATCAGGATCCCTCATCCCTTCTAGGAGATGCCAGTAAGCACCAGGCCCATCAAACCCAGTGGGAGCTCCCCTTGGGTATTAGTATTGGGACTGGTGGTTCATCTGCGTGTGCAAGAGAGAGAGAGAGCCCACAGGTATGCAAGTGCGTGTGCACATGGTATATTATACGTGGATGCATACGCATAGGGACTGAGATAGCTTCCCAGTCTTCCCAGGATGACGCTTGAGCTGGTGAGTCACTGGTGTACGGATCCAGATCTCCTGCTCTGAATACGTGCAGCCTCTCTCAGCCTGAATTTTCTTGTTTACCGGCTGAGTCTAACAAAGGATTGTGTAAGAGGCAAGCCGAGCAAAAGGAGGGTCTGCTTTGTCTTTGTTTTCCCGTAGCAGACAATGACTGTGGTTCAAACGGTGCTCAGGGATCAGCCTGCTGGACTAGACTCGCCTGCTGCTCACTCCCGAAGCTCTCTTTTCTTGGTTGGATTGCCTCTCTTGCTATTGCTACATGAGTAGAAACATCATAGGATAACGTAGTTTGATACTGAGTCCTGCTATCCAGAACAGAACCTCAAACAGTGGCATGAATCAGTATTGAGCATGAGTCTCCAGAAAGCACTGACAGCAACTGTTCCCAGTTCTGTCGCCATTGTTATGGTGTCTCCCTGGTACAACTTCCCTCTGGCAACATAGGCACTTTTCATCTCCCACTAAGGAGTCTCTTCCTTTTGGTTCATTGAGCCCTTAGCCTGTCTCAGTTGGCAGTAATTCTCTAGACATGGACCAAATCAGACATGCTATCTTATTAGACTACACTTTCTAAGCTTCATTGATTACCTGGATAAACACACACACACACATTTGGAGTTAGCAGAAGGACTCAATAAACACAGGGGAAGGCACATCCAAAGGAGATTATCTGCTTGTAATTCCAATTCTGTCAATCATTACCCGAATAATCATCTCTCAGGTGGGAAGGTCCTAAAAGCCTTAAATGTGTGTGTTTGCTTCTGAGCGATTGTGCGAGTGTTGAGTGCGTTAGGGGAATGAGCGGGTGGGGTGGGTCTGGTATTTATATCACAGCTGACAGCTTAGATGACCTCCTGGGAGTAGCTTTCCCTATCACCACATTTAACACGTTCCACGCAAAAGGTGCGGGGGCTGTTGCCCCCCCTCCCCTCGCGCCTCTCCCTCCATATAAGCCGGGCTGCCTCCAGCTAGCTTTTGCACACACACACTCCTCAGTGGCCCAGAGCAAACGAAGGCCGTTGGAGAATGAGCCTGTTTTTCTCTGAGTCAGCATGGCTCTCCTTGGCTGCCACTGCAGTGCTGGGGGGCATGCTTCTCTGCAGAGCCAAGAGCCCGGAGCAGCGGTGCAGCCAGGTGCTGTGCCTTGCTGCCCTCTGGGGAGGTGCTTGTCTGCTCCACCTGTCCCTTCTCTGCAGCCTGTTCCTCTTGTCGCTGTCCTGCTTCTTCCTGGGTATGTGGTCAACCGATCAAGAATTGTTACCTGTGGATCAAAAGGCCGTGCTGGTGACAGGTGAGTGGTTGGCGTTGCTGTGATTGTCACTTGGAGCAGGACCCAACACACTGCCTCGGTGGGATGTTGTTAGATTTGGCAGAATGTAAAACACTTAAAGTGAGTGACAGACAGCTCACACCCAAGTGGTTTTCACTGCGCTTTTTTATTTTTTTATTTTAGTGTCCTTTTATTTGGAAATGTCTTGGGAGAAACTGGTAGTAAAACAGAAGTTGACAGTTGGTCAGGGGCATCTATGTATACAATGAGTCTGTTCGTCTCCTAGAAATAAATATTAATAAGTAAAAATGGCATCATGTGTGTCGCTGTACTGGGACACAGCAGACTTCTTCAGGCTTAGCTGGGATTGGGTTCTGAATATTCGGAACCTTCAGTTCATCCCGGCTCCAGGACGGCTCGCCTCCCTACGCGTGGCTTCCGCGCGGTGCTGAATGTCTCTCGGGACACCGCTGCGCTTTGCACTGCTGCTCTCATGAATCGTGAACTCTGTGTCCTGATCGAACCTTTCCCCTCCAAGTGTCGTTAGCGTGCTGGTGCTTCTTAATTAGACCGAGTTGGCAGTGTGTGCCCAAATCTAGGCTCATTAGTTGAGCTGCCAGCTTTTTGCTTGTTTGGTGTGTTATTCCAACATAAGCGTGAGGCCAAATTAGATTCTTTTGAGTTGTAAAACGGGTTTGTTGGGTGGTGAAGTTGGAGCTTGGAAGGGCTGTAATTAGATTTCCCCAAAGTCATCCTAACCCAGAAAGGCCTGGTAAAGAAGAGGAAAGGTTATTAGTAGAGGAATCTTGTGAGGAGGTGGTCAGTCCTTCGTGAGGTGATCATCACCTCCAGCTGTGGCCCCTGGGTGTGGTTCGGAGAAAACCACAGGTCTGGTGATTCACTGAGACACAGGCTCTAACGTTCCATCTCTTTCTGTTTTTACCTTTTACCTTAAACCCAGTAGCAAAATTCTGTCTTCACCTGAGCACAGTTCGGTTCGTGCTGGGATGTGGGGTGCAGGAGATGCGCTCCCGCCCGAGAGTTTAAAAGCAAACAATGCTGTCAATCAGCGAGATAGTCACCTGGTGGCTAACTGGTGTCACCTGGAAGCATGCAGCTGCAGTCCTGGGCCTCACTTGAATTTCAGATGGCTGATGGCTGGGGAGAAGCAGCACAGGGAATCATGGTTTGAGTTTGTATAGCAGCAACCACCCAATGCTTCCGGAATCATTCTAGGTCAAACATAACTGTCGTATTTCCCAGTTGCATGAAAGAAAGAATACAAGATCCTTTAAGTACACTGGAGATATTTCTATCTCTGCCTGCCTGACTCTGTCTCCCTGGGACGATCAGAGGTTGATCTTGGGTGTCTTCGTCGTTTCTCTCTGTCTTACTGGTTAGCTAGACTGATTTGCAAGCAAGCCCCGGAGATCCTCTCGCCTTTGGCTCCCTCCGTGAGTGGATGACAGCATTTCCTACTCTGACCAGCTTTTTACAGGGGTGCTAGAGATCTGAACTCAGGTTCTCATGCTTAAACAAGTCCTTTACCCACCGAGTTATCCCCAGCCTCAGCAAAAATAGTTACGGCATCCTGCCAGTCAAAAGATCTTCTGGAAGTACAGACACTCTGGGAGATCAATTCAGGGTTTAACCCTTCTGGGGATGACCTAGGAGAGGGGACCTACCACAAAACCCAAGGTAGAGAAGAAGACAAAAATCTTCTCTCATTTGTCCTCTCAACAGTAAATTAAGTGAGCAGCAGAGCCCCATGACGAACTCCTAAGAAGTTCTTTGGGATGTTAGAGCAATGCTAAGGACATTTGAGAGCCATGAAAATGTCATTTTCTGTCATTTGCACAATGGATGCACACGTTTGGTACTGTTCTTGGATAGGTTCAAGACCTTTACTAAACGGAAACATTTGGGCCCGGGGTTGGAGTTCAGGGGTAGAGGAACTTGCCTTGCTTGTGCTAAGGTCAGAGTTCAATCCCCAGCATCACGAATGAAACCAAATGAGCAAAAACACCAAACCAAAACCACAGCAACAACAAAAAACAAGCACCCCCCCCAAAAAAAAATACCCAGAAGCTTCAAAATAAAATGGACAAAGTTAAAACGAGTTTGACTCAGCAAACTATATGTGCATGTTGGGGGTATGTGTGCTTGAGTGTAGTTGCCCTAGGACACCAGAGGGCTTGTCAGATCCCCTGAGTCTGGAGTTGTGTGTGGTTGTGACCTGATGTGGGTTGTGGGAACTGATCTCCAGTCCTCTGGCAGAGCATCAAGTACTCTAACTTTTGAACCATCTCTGCAGCCCTAATTTTTAAAATTACGTGTGTGTGTGTGTGTGTGTGTGTGTGTGTGTACCACAGTGCAAGCAGCTTTGGGAGTCAGCTATCTCCCTCCACCACGTAGGTTCAGGGGCTCGAACTCAGGTTTTTGGGCTTGTTGACAAGCACCTTTACTTGCTGAACCATCTCCCTGGCTCCAAACAACCTACAAACAAACAAACAAACCAAAAAACCAACAAGAAGATTCCCTGGGTTAAAATTGCTGTTTCAGGTAGCCATGGAGTTTAGTAGGGGTGGACTAGAGGAAGGAAAGGGACAGGATGTGGGAAGTCTCAGGCTTTATTCCATTATTTGAAAGTGCTCTTCAAGAAGTGATGTGACAGGGTGGGGGCAGGGGTGGGGGTGGCTGCAGAGATGACTCAGTGGTTTAGAATAAGACTTCCTGCAGGGGACCTGCGCTTGATCCCATATGACGTGCCTTACAACTGCCTGTAACTCCAGCTTCAGGGCACGTGTGACGTCCTCTTCTGAGTTCCGCAGTCCCCTGAAGGCACACATACACATACCCTCATACTTACACGTAATTAAAAATAAGAAAAATACAATTTGGAAAGAAATAACCTGAGAGGTGAGGATGCAGCTCAGTGGTTGAGTGCTGGCCTACCATCCAGAGGCCTTAAGATTAATCCCTAGCTGTGGAAACCAAACAAAACTGAGCAGACAGAAATCCAAACCACACTCTCAGCGCCATATGAGTTAAGACAGTCACATTTCCAAAGCAGCCAAAATCTATGGTCCCTCCTTCGAGTGTAACAGTATACAGTCATGAAAGGTGACAATCCCAAGAGGAGTGTCACCATGCGGGAAACTGCTCAGGCTACAGGAAGACGCCAGTGAGCTGAATGTCTGGATCACGCTGCATGCTCCTCAGGTCGGGCTGGAGCTGGCGGGAAAACTATGGTAACAGATTGACGGGAAAGGATTTTGGAAAATAGTCCTGTACATGAAGGAAGGAGAGAAATTGTAAAGGGTTTTGCAAATGGTTGGAGCAATGCACCCAGCTGCTTTTCACGATGTCAGACTTTTCAAGGCATAAAAAATATTTAAAGGAGAGTCAAGACACTGTGGGAGCAGCCTATAATCTTAGCAAGGGAGTTCAAGGTCATCCTTGGATAGGTAACAAATATGAGGACAGCTATATAAGATGCTATCTCAAATCAACAAAAATTTAAAAGAAGTTGTGCCTGGTGGTGCAGGCGTGTAATCCCAACTATTTGGGATGCTGAGGCAGGGGGATTATAAGTTTAACAAAGCTTACCTCAAAATAAAAAAGTTGAAAAGAGCTGGGAATATAGCTGAGGCCCAAGCTTCAATTCCCAGTGCTAAAAACAGGAAAAGAAAGGATAAATTGTAGCTCTTTATGGAGAGGTAACACTAAATAGAACTTAGCTTCTTCTCAGTTATGGTTCTAAGTGAGAGACAATGACAGATGCAACTTTGAAGAATGTCTTCTCCCTCTTCAAGTCCTTCATTTCACCATGATGGTCAAAGCTACTTTGCCTCTGAAGTATTCTGGTTATATTAAGCATGCCTAGAATGTTTGAATGTGTTTTGTCTCTAAGGTACCCTGAAACGATAAGGGTCATTTGAGTTTTTAAATGGCTGTAAAATTAACGAAGAGAAGGTCAGTATGATTGCAAAAACACCTCAAGCACCAAAAGATGGAAAAACATGTGAATCCGGCTTATGGCTGGGTTCGGCATCTACTTCCCTTGAGGATGGGATTCTGAGAGGACAACCCTGAGGCAAGATTTAGGAAGGTTTCAAAAAAAAAAAAAAAACAAAAACAAAGACAGGGAAGGTGTCAGGTCAGATGATGAAGTCCTCTGAGGGTCACTTCCTCTTGGTCACCCTGGACAGATGTGAGTCACATCACGGAGCTGCCTAGACAGGATGTCAGGGCACTGTAGTATTTGACGTCACCATGCTGAGAGTCATTAGACAAGGTAGTACTGGCCCTTACCACTTAGCTTCTGAGCACTTCCGGCTGCAGTGGTCACTAGTGGTGACTCTAAGACCCTAGAGGAGGCCCTCAAACTTGGGGTGGAGTTGTACCACGAACACGTGTGCACACACAAATGGTCAAGAGTTGCAGGAATGTCCGTCGCTAGCCTGTTTTGACCCATGTGTCTTTGGGCCTCCATTAGCAGCTTTTGAATTTCCACTCTTCCGCTGTTGACTGGAAATATTCCTTAGCCACATGCAGCAGACTCTCCCAGGTGGAGGTAATGGGGGTCAGGGAGAATGACGGACTTGAGTACAAGGCTGGGCAGAAGTAGGCTGGAGGGGTGGCCAGGAAGAAGAAAAACAGGAAAAACCAACAAAGCAAAAGGAAAGGATGCCATGTGGACTGAGAGGAGCAGTCATTTATCTAATCAATGAGTGTGTGTGTGAGTGAGTGTGTGTGTGTGTGTATCTATGTGCACACCACATCTATGCAGGTTTCCGACAGAAGGCAGAAGAGGGCATCAGATTCTCCAGAATGGGAGTTATAAACCGTTGTGAACACACTGACCTGGTGCTGGGAACCAGACTGGGGTCCTCAGGAAGAGCAGCCAGTGCTCTTAATTCCTGAGCATCTCTCCAGCCCTTCAATAAATATTTACTGAGAATGCGGTGTGGAGCATCTGTTTTCCAGGAACAATGGGGCAGAAGACTTAGAAAGGCATA